GGGCTGGGAAAAAATAGGGTGGGTGTTGCGGGAGGAATGCTGGTGATGTCCAGAAATAAGACGAAAGAAATGACTAGGGTGATCCGTCTCCCCTCACTTTCTCCTCTTATCACATGTGCTGAGGCTTTTTCCTTGCCGGGGATTTTGACCTCAAGACCAGAAGGTAGAGAGCAAATTCCAACGGAGCTTCCTAAAACCGATCGCTGGTTGGACGGCACTTTAAACCACAACGGAGGGGCTCCCTTCATCCCCTGAGCGAGGACACTGTCAAGACACCTTGGGAATTGCGGGCTTAGTAGCAATCTAACGTTAGGTTCGCAATAGTTCGCTCTCTCTCTGCCCCTCCCCCCCCAATTAAAAGTTTACTCAATTTTCAAGATATATACTGCCATTGCTTTCCTGAGCTATTTCAGATTCCACTCCCTGGCATCTCTGGATGTTGTATAACATAGATTTAAAAAAAAATCGACTATGTATTTGCCTATAGCACAACGCACAAACTATGGCAACTTACCCCACACCACCCTCTCATTACCTCTAATGAATTCTGTTACTCCACGCTTTGAAAGGAGCTTGCTCTGTACCTAAAAAGAAATAAGAAGTTTCCCCAGAGGACTTCAGAGCTACAAGTTAACTACGGTGGTTACAATTGGACCAGAGATGCCAATGCCAAAAATAAATAGTTTTTTTATTCTTCACCACTGTGATGAGTTCGGTCACAGAGATCCCCTTGGGATTGTCATCTGACATGCTGAGATTACTTCTGAGCCCGTTTTCCCTGCCAGCTTGTGACTCCAGAACCCTGTCTTGTTCAGCCAGACATGCTAGCCTGCTGCAACACAGACCCACGTCTGGTCCACACCCCCAAAGCTGCAGGATTAACTGAAAACAGCTTAGCAGGTTACCTAGCTCCAGCACCCAGACACCAGCTCCCAATGGGATCCATACCCCAAATCAATCCATTTTACTGGAGAGGGATAGCTCAGTGTTTTGAGCATTGGCCTGCTAAACCCAGGATTGTGCGTTCAATCCTTTAGGGAGCCATTTAGGGATCTGGGGCAAAAATCTGTCTGGGGATTGATCCTGCTTTGAGCAGGGGGTTGGACTAGATGACCTCCTGAGGTCCCTTCCAACCCTGATATTTTATGCTTCTATGCAGGGTAAACTCATAAATTGTCTGCCCTCTATAACACTGACCGAGAGAGATGCACAGCTGTTTGCTCCCCAAAGTATTAATCACTTACTCTGGGTTTATTAATAAACAGAAGTGATTTTATTAAATATAAAAAGTAGGATTTAAGTGGTTTCAAGTAATAATATACAGAACAAAGAAAGTCACCAAGCAAAATAAAGCAAAAACATGCAAGTCTAAGCCTAATACATTAAGTAACTAATTACAGGTAAAATCTCACCCCCAGAGATATTCCAATAAGCTTCTTTCACAGACTAGACTCCTTCCTAGTCTGGGCACTCCTTCCTAATCTGGACCCAATACTTTCCCCTGGTACAGTCCTTGTTAGTTTCAGCAGACATCTTAGGTGGAGACTAGGGGTTCTCATATGACTGGCTGCCCCCTTTGTTCTGTTCCACCCCCTTTTATAGCTTTGGCACAAGGCTGGAATCTTTTGTCTTTCTGGGTCCCCACCACCTCTTCTAAATGGAAAAGTACCAGATTTAAGATGGATTCTAGTATCAGGTGACATGTTCACCTGTGAGACCCCAGCCTCCATTCTCCCAGGGCTGGCCTATGCGTACATTTGTAAGTAAACAGAGCCATTTACAACCAATTGTCCTACTCAGTGGGAGCCATCAAGATTCTAAACCACCATTAATGGCCCACACTTTGCATAATTACAATAGGACCTCAGATATACTTCATATTTCTAGCTTCAGATACAAGAATGATACATACATACAAATAGGAGGAATATATTCAGTAGGTTATAACCTTTGTTATGATACCTTTTGCATAAAGCATATTCCAGTTACATCATATTTACACTTATAAGCATATTTCCATAAAACATATGGAGTGCAACATCACAACCCCCATGTACTCAGAGAACAATTTCTTGTAAGGAATAGTCTTTTAGGTAATGAAATGAACAGGGACAATTGCACTTGGCAACCTAAGGAAGAATGTCAGAAAAGACTTTTGGAATTAGTTTTTGTGTTATACAGAAGAATCTGGCAAAAGCATTTCAGTTAGTCATAGAATTTAAGTCCAGAAGGGGCCATCAGATAATTTAGTCTGATCTCCTCTATATCACAGGCCACCCCAACACCAATCAGCACCCATGAAGTAAACTGAACCACCATAATTAGACAAAGATATTACAGCAACAGCCCTCAGGAGACTTAACTGTTATGTGCCACAAGTTGATAATAGAAGGGACTGAGGTGCAATGTCCAAGGCCCCTGAACTGGCAGGGAATTAATTTAGCGAAATATATCCACATGATCCTAGTAAGCACCCACATCCCATGCTGCAAAGATAGGCTAAAACTCCCAAGATCACTGCCAATCTAACCTGGCAAAAAATTCCTTCCTGATCTTACAGATAGTAATCAGTTAGGGTATGTCTACTCTTAAAACAAACAAAAAAAACCCAAAATCACACCCTGCTACAGAGCATCTCAGAGCCTGAATCAACTAACTGCTTTTGGGGCTCACACTACAGGACTAAAAACAGTTCTGCAGATATTTCTACTTGGAGTCCCCCTTGGTTGGGTTTCAGAGCCCCAGCTCCAGTCCAAGTAGTCATGTCTACACTGCTATTGCTAGCTACATAGCAGAAGTCTGAGTCAGTTGACACAGGCTCTGGACTTGCTGTCATGTGTGGGTTCTTTTTTGGTTTTGTTTTTTGGCTATATAGACATACCCTTAGATCAGGGGTGTGCAAACTTTTTGGCCCGAGGGCCACATCTTTGTGGGGAAACTGCATTCAGGGTCATGAATGTAGGGCTGGGGCAGGGGGTTGGGGGGTGCAGAAGGGAGTGCGGGGTGTGGGAGGGGGTGCAGTGTGTAGGAAGGGGCTCAGGGAAAGAGGTTGGGGTGCAGGAGTGGTGCAGCAGGGGGCTCAGGGCAGAGTGCGGGCGGGGACTCATGGGAGGGGGCTCAGGGCAGGTTCTTGACAGAGTCTATATTGCAAACACACCTCTCTCCTCTCAGGGAGTGACTGCACAGTACTTCCCTTTCAGCCCCCTTCTGTTCTCAACTTGCTGGCTTTGTACCAGCCCAGCCTACACCTGCTCAGATGAGCATCATCTTTTATTAGGGCTTGCATCTCCAACCTAACTCTCCCCAAGGTGCAGCCTATTAGGTTAATTAGCCCCTTCCCACCTACCTTAACCCTTTCATATGAGGTGTGGAGCGAACACCCCATCACAGTCCTCTAAAATCAACATGCTTAGTCAGACTTCTTTGAAATTTGGTGTGCTTCAGAAGGATGCAGGGTAGGGATAGTGACCCCAGGTTCCAGAGATATAAGCTTTGGGGGGGGAAAATAGCCATTTTAAAAAAGTTTAGATTTTGGGGTTTTTTTTTGCCCAGAGCTAGAGTGTAAACTATTGAGGCATGCAATGGTTCTCACTCAGGAGTTGGTTGGGAAGTGTGGCCTAGTGGTCAGGCTGCAACCTGTGACCAGCAGAGCGTTGTTGGTAGGTGAGCCTGGGCTCTTCCATTCCATTGGGCTCTGAGCCAGGGCCCTTTGGGCTACCAATGGTTCGGCATGTGGTAGAATTGGGATGATGTTTGCCAATGTGCATTACTGTGCATTTACCAACAGTGAATTTCATCTACCATTTTGTTGCCCATTCACCCAGTTTTGTGAGATCCCTGTGTGACTCTTCACAGACTGCTTTGGACTCAACTATCTTGAGTAATTTTGCATCATCTGGAAAAAGGGGTAAAACAGTGAGGTGGCAGAATTTGCAGATCATTTATGAATATGTTGAACAGCACTGGTCCCAGTACAGATCTCTGGGGGACATCACTATTTATCTCTCTCTGTTCTGAAAACTGACCATTTATTCCTACCCTTTGTTTTCTGTCTTTTAACCAGTTTACTGATCCATTAGAGGACCTTCCCTCTTATCCGATCACTGCTTAGTTTGCTTAAGAGCCTTTGGTGAGTGACCTAGTCAAAGCTTTCTGAAAGTCTAGGTACACTATATCCACTGGCTCATCCTTGTCCACGTGTTTGTTGACTCCCCTCAAAGAATTCTAAGAGAGTATTCTAATAAACACCCACCAGTACCACCTGTTGTTGAAAAGGCTGCAGAAAGAAAATAATTCACAGTAATAGGAGAAGACCATCTGCAAATTAGCAAGTGCACAGTTGGAGTATATGACAAACCCATTCATAACTAAGGACATTTATAACTTATTTGAAGTGAGGAAGAAAAATTTTAATGGTTGGTGTTAGTGTTACTAAGGTTTCTGCAAAATTAAAGTGTTTTTATCTAATTATTCAGTAAATTATATAAAGACATATAATATCAAATTATACCTCAGTGAAGACTCCACATAGTAAATAGAACATAACATCAGCATCATTAATGATGTACTCAATGGCAACCGCTACCCCCCTATTAATACAGAATTAAGGTTGTTATCCCCTTGCAGAATGCTGAGTTGAGCAAAACTCAAACTTTTTAAAAATCAGGAAAAGCACAGTTAAATTTGCATGAGAAGATGCCCTCTTTCAGTAATGCCCCCATACATCCCATCCAGGGAGGCTATGCTGGGCTCTTTTGTGCTGATTGCATAAAGAAACTACTGGCTCTGCTTCCTGCTCCCCCTTTGATATTTTTGATGCAATGATTAAATAGTCTCAAGTGGGGAAAAAAACCCTTAGATCTGTTCCTTTAGATCAACTGCAAGGTGTATCCTCATAAGTCAGAGCCCACCTAACACCAATGTCATGTACTTGATAAATACAAAACCCTACATGTACCTTCCATGTTTCATATATGATGTTGGCATTCATCAATACAGGTCATTTACAATACAGTGCTTGAACCTAGGGAGAGGAGGGCTCCAAACTGAAAAGGGAAGGGATTGGGGAAGAAAGATAAAAAACAACCAAATATGGAAAAATGAAGTGCACCAATTTATGATCTAGAACATTACAGGTATGTACAGTTCAGCTAATTTATGTGGGAGGTACTTACTTGATTGGTGACCCGTTTCAGGCATCTGCTTTAGCTAGGGAAATCTTTACCAAAGATTTAGCATATTCTTGCAAAACAACTTCTCATGCCTCAGTGAGCATGATTTCTCTGCACATAGGGAGTAAGGGTCATCTTTTCTAGCCCCTTCATCAATTTCCATAGACTTGAATTCTTTGTTTTGAAAGCTGGGATCAATCTAAGCTATCCAAGATGTAGATATATACAAGAAGGCTTTCTTTGTAAAGATAATGGATGAAGTTTTCAAATGTGCCTGAATGTTTTAGGAGCCCAAATCCCATTTTCAGAAGGGTCTAAAGCATATAGGCTTAAGAACAAGAATGGCCATATTGGGACAGACCAAAGGTCCATCTAGCCCATTATCCTGTCTTCTGACAGTGGCCAATGCCTGATGCCCCAGAGGGAATGAACAGAACAGGTAATCATCAAGTGATCCATCCCCTGTCACCCATTCCCAGCTTCTAAGTGACTTAGATGTTTTTGAAATTGGGATGTAGAAATTTTTGAAAATGTTACCCGGTGGGCTGATTCTCCTCTCTCTTGCAAGTAACTCAAATTTAAATTCAATACCAATAGCTAAGTAAAAGGAAAAACATTTTATTGAAATATAATGTAAGATGTTGGGACAAATGCTACTCAAATATAATCTAAAACAAAAACAAGTTTATCAGAACCTATTTCATGTATCAGAGCTTTCCATTTTTGTATGTACACAAATTCAAAAGGAAGGAAGGAAGGAGGATTAAAATGCAGAAGCTATCCAAAACACTAGAAAACAGACAAAAATATGAAATTCAAAGCAATAGTGTGGACTGCACATGCAAGACTTACCATATGATCAAATATTGTCTTATGTTAATCACTGATGAAGTCTCCATACATTCCATTAAAAGAACCATCAAAAAAATCAACGTGTAAAAAGAAATATCTAAGCAGCACAACAAACTTCTCAAACTCTGTATCCGTTAAGTCCAAGTGAATAGTTCCTAAACCCCACAGCCTCAAAACAGACTACCCCTAAATTCAGCATCTGAATCATACTGATGATGCATATATTCAAGCAAGTCTGACTTGCATTCACAAATGTGACAAATATTCTTAGGTCTGGTCTATACTACCCGCCTGAATCGGCGGGTAGAAATCGACCTCTCGGGGATCGATTTATCGCGTCCCGTTGGGACGCGACAATCGATCCCCGAATCGGCGCTCTAACTCCACCAGCGGAGGTGGTAGTAAGCGCCACCGACAAAAAGCGGCAGAAGTCGATTTTGCCGCCGTCCTCACAACGGGGTAAGTCGGCTGCAGTACGTCGAATTCAGCTACGCTATTCACGTAGCTGAATTTGCGTATCTTAAATCGACTCCCCGCTGTAGTGTAGATGTACCCTTGGATGCATCCTAATCCTGAACTGATGGAAAGCTGCATTTACTGGGGTCTCAGAAGAAAGTCATTCCCCACTTGCCTCCCAAATCATACTTAACTCTGCTCACATCACATTACTGTATTCCTGAGTAATAACAGAATGTAGGACATTGTTCAACATGTGTCTTCTTTATTTTAACAGGATCCCACCAAAGGCTGTAGTGCCAGAGAGCAACTGGAAGAAGATTTTTACTTTCTATGCTAGCAGCTACATCTGTTTTCAACGAAAGCTAGGCTTCCTACTTTTGGCACATGTGTAGGCCTGAAGGTGCCCAATTAAGTCAAACAGATGAAGCACACATTCATGGACTATCACCTACTTCTGCTTGCAAAGATTTAATGGATATGCTATAGGACTTTCTTTAAGCTGAAGTATATTAATATATATTTATATAATCTTTTGTACAAGTATGAGACTTAACCTTGGATGGTTTGTTATTTAGTTTGCTGAATGGCTGTTCTAAAACTGCCTAAAATGACAGGACAAATTTGTTTGTGGGAACAGGAAAATATCTAAGAAGCAAAAGGAGGCTAAAAAACACAACACATTGGCAGGAACATTAAAAATAGGCATGTCAACAGGACTTTTCATGACAAAGATCCTTCCTTATCCTCTGTCTATTACACTATTGATCCAAGTAATCCTGTCCAGTCACTAGAGACATTTCCTAGTCAGAAATGATTTCCACAAGGAAATTAGCTATTTCTGAAAATGATTAAGGAAGATTCCTTTGTAGGGGAATACAATGGTTGGGTGGGTTGCTAGGGACAGCTTTAAGGGGAAAAAAATATAAAGTTTCCTTGCCTGTGCTTAGAAGAAAAGGGAGTTCAGTTTCACCATCTGAGGATATTTTGGATGTTCTCCCTGAACTGGGATTTACTACCCAAAGCCAGGAGGAGCTCCAGAAGAGATGTTGCCTGGACACAAGCATGTAACTTTTGGTGGCTACACATCATATTACCAGAACAGCAGCAACTACTGGTAAGCACAGCTATACAAGGAAGGCCCTTGTTCAGAAGCTGGGAGTATTGACCAGCCTCCATTTCCACCACTCCCCACCAACTCTCTGGAAAAGTTGGGGTCCTCCACTTTGACTGCTCCAGACAGGGTCTCCAGAACAGTCATTGCACCTTCCTGGACTGAAACAGAGATCCCCAGGTATGTCCACAGACAGGGCCGGCTCCAGGGTTTCGGCCGCCCCAAGCAGCCAAACAAACAAACAAACAAACAAACAAACAAAAAACCCCCCGCGATCGCGATCTGCGGCGGCAATTCGGCGGGAGGTCCTTCACTCCGAGCAGGAGTGAGGAACCGTCCGCCGAATTGCCACTGAACAGCTGGATGTGCCGCCCCTCTCCGAAGTGGCCGCCCCAAGCACCTGCTTGGTAAGCTGGTGCCTGGAGCTGGCCCTGTCCACAGATATCACTGCTCCTTCCTGTCTGCCATTATTATTTTTATGCTATTATAAATTTCACACATCTTCACGGTCATTCACTTTTGGGTAAATAAGCAGACAAGAAAACGTAATCAAATGGCAACATGACAAGAAGTTTGTAACCTACACAGCTCAGCTCTAGCCTAATCCAGAGACAAACCCAAAGGTGATTTTAAGAAAACTCCCCGGTCAAGTTAGAAAATATTTCTATAGTAGTGATTATTTTGCATAACTTGTTCACACTTTGTCTGCCATTCTGAGAATCTGTAGGGAGGGACAGACATTGGAGGAGTAAACACCAGGTTATACTAATTCTCAGGTCACTCATCTTAAGAAAAATTGTAAAACGAGCTAAGGGTTCCAGTGCTTTGGTCAAGTAGCCAGTAAGCAGCTTACAACAAGATTGAGATGTCTATGCTTACAAGTTTATGGTGCCAGAATTATGCTAATGCAGCTGTGCCGCTGTAAGAGTGCTTGTATAGCTGCATTATGCCGATGGAAGAGAGCTTTCCTGTCAACATAATAAAACCAGCTCAATGAGCGGTGGTAGCTATGTCTGCGGGAGAGCATCGTCCGCCGACATAGCGCTATGCATACAAGCATTTATGTCAGCAAAACGTATGTCAGTCAAGGATGTGTTTTTTCACACCCCTGAGTGACAAAAGTTTGAGGAAATAAGTGCTAGTGTAGACATGACCAGCAGTGCAACAAGAGACTGATGGGCCCGCCTTTGTAACATGGGTCTAATGTTACTTTAACAAAATTGTCCTTGCCCACTGCCATATTACTCAACATTAACTGATTGTTGTGAAGTTAAGAAAATATTGTTTTTTAAATATAGCCACCACCCAAAGAGCACCTCAGCTTGAGCTTGAAAAATAACCTTGAAAGTTAAGGTGCGTTTTTGTTTTGTTTTGCACTATTGAAAGAAATATTAACTGGATGAATGAAGCAATCCAGATTTTGTTAAATGTCATGCAATTGCAAAGATATTTTTTAAGGAGATTTGAGTAGAGACAAATACATTGCAAAAAGTAAAATGTAGCCCAATGATGAGGAAAGTCCATATTTTCTGTCATGTAATAAATGTTTACTTCTTGAACAAAGACTAAATTCTAAACTGGCAGCAAGGTGAAGATGACAAATTATTGGAATTTATCGAAAGATGTTATGACAACGATAAAATATTAAGTAGGATTGCTTCAAATAAAACCCATTATAATGCAATCATCCTTCTCTTTCCACCATATAAATATTTCTATTCTCAGCTAACAGCAGCTTGAGAAAATGCTTTTCATGTATAGCTGTTATAAAGCCTATAAAACTGGGCAGAATACACTTATCAACTTTTTAATGTAAGACAGTAGTTAGTTTAAGTCAAAAGACGATGCTGCATTTTTTGCATGATGGATTTACTGAGGCACTGGAAACATTCAGAAAAGCTGACAACCATTTATAACCCTTTTCAAAGAGTTATAATAGTTACAACTGAATGAACAAACCTTGCCTGAGACTAAAAATAGAACTATTTTGAACATTATAAAAGTTCTTGCACTTTGATCCTAGGATTTTTAATTTTTTTTAAACTATCTCTCTCCGTTGAAACTGGTAACTCATGGGCACATATGTTTTATGTTAGTCAAGCAAAGTGAGTATCTAAAGAAGCCAAAAATTTATGTCCATTTGAAATACAATATTCACTACTATTTAGTAGCTTTGCCAGTAAATGGACAGTAAAGAGCTCTACAGTATGTAAGAAGAGATCCTATTTGTCTATCCTTGTCAATGCTTTCCCTTGTGTATCTGTCAAGATCAGAATTCATTCATGATCAGCAAATCCATGTGTGAATATGAGGAATCATAAACCAAACTAAAATTATCTCCTGGAAGAGGCCACAAATTCTCCTTTTCATAAAGAAAGCTTATATCCTATGTTCTGAGAGGCAGAGGAGAAAGATAGTTATAACTTTATTTTCAAAAAGCACTTGTTACAGCAATTTTGGATGGTTAAAAATGATTTGTCATCCTGTGACCCAGAAAATCAGACTGCTAGTTTGGAGGGCATAAAATATGAATTTAGGAGCTTTGCCACCATTTAAAAAAAGCTTGGTTGGTCACAATGTTATTTATTTAGAACACCTTAACGGTATAAGCCACATTATGAACAAATAAGTATACGGTCCCTACTCCAATGTAGGGAAATACAATATGATAAATATTAAGCCTAAAAAAGAAGAGCAAATGTTTGGAAGTAGGGATTAACAGTGACAATGAAGTGGATTTTAAGAAAGGATCTTAAGGAAGAGGAGGTGGTGGCTGCTTGCTGCCGAGGAAGCACTGAGATTCATAAAAAATAAAAGCTAGAAATAACAAAAAACACCACACTTGTGAAAGCACAGTATTTGGTATGTTTTAAATAAAAAATCCCATTTGTTTATATGTGCTTTAAAGCATTCCACATTGGAGAAAGCAATTTCAAACAAAATGTGCAAGGTCTGTAAAAATGATTTCCAGATAAGATATTCTTGGCACAACACCATGCACTAGGTCGGCCAACGGTAAATCTTCCCTATAGATCACCTGTTAGAGACTGCTGACTTGACCATGGGGGTCTCAGTTCACGCACCAACTGCAATGGGCCTCCCATATACATCAATCAGTTTTTTATACAGAACTAAGTTCACTTTGGCTATTTGCATAGCTGTGGAGTGAAGGGTGAGTTTCACCAGGCTGACTGCCTCATCTACTTCTGGGACAATCTCCTTTCATCATTGGGGGGGAGGGGCGGGGAATCTTAAAAATGCCATTCAAGAGGATTAACTGAACAACGGTAATTCTTCAGAAGTAACTGAAGTAAAAACCACATTTCTGGTGCTGCTGAAGGAAAAAAAATCAGTTCAGGAAATTAGCTAGTAGATATAGAGTATCACTCTACACAGAGAATGATGATCTATTTGTCACACACTCACTAATATAACCTTGGAGGGGTATGCATTTGCCCAGGCACCAGGTAAAAACAGTTCAATAGATTGCACGTAGCCCACACCAACTGAAGTTATTCACAGACAAGATTTTTTTTTTCCAAATTGAAATTGAAAGTTAGGCTTCTTAAATAGAGGCTCTGATTTCACTGGTCTACAATTTTTGAGAAGTCGTCTGCTTCAGAGATAAAATGTGCTATTTATTATGTATTTTGATGTGCTGAATTCAAATATGACAATTAAAACAACTGATTGGCTACTGTTTCTAAGATATTTAAGTTTTTACATTTTATGTCTATGTATATTGTGTAGATAGTAGAGTTTAAT